GAAGCAATTAGCAGTTACTACCTATTCATGCATGAGAAATAGCAGACCCATGACAGGGTGCCTGAGGGCAGAAGGACAGACAGACAGACCTGCAGGTACAGGGACTGATGGCTGCAGTAAGAGAGGTCTGATGCAGGAGCCAGCTGAAACTGTCCCTGACAGCAGCCATGCACATTTTTGTTTACAAGAAGACATAAGCAGACGAGGGAGCCCCGTGAAAACTGCTGATCCACATGTACGAATTCTTTAGTGGGTCAAACACAGTGCCAACAGTGACAATGGCATTAAAAATTATTACTGCAGTTGTTTGTCTTGCAATTATTCACTCCTCCTTCTCCTTGTTAATAATACAAATCAAGTTAGGTGCCTGCAGTACTTTGCGCTGTCAAAAAAACCCTGATCTACAGATGTCCCAGCCTTGCCCACAAGCCAAGGTGCAAGTCTTCTAGTGCCATGGACTCAGAGCTATTAATTTCCACAGTAGTGCACAAACAGGACTTTTAGTTTCTTGTCATAGCTTAGAAATGGTAACTAACATACACCAAAATCCTGATAAAGAAAAGGCACAGGTTGTGTGCCTAAGTAACAATAAATGAGTGAGCAAAGCATAAAACTTTTCACCTGTGGACAGATATTTATCACAGATTAGATTCCTATCTGTTAAGAGAAGCTGTTTGTTGAAGTAAAGTTGAAGTTGTTTCAAGGAAAAGTAATATACTAAAAGATAAGAGCAGATTACTTAAATTCACTATCATATGCAAACATAATTTTGGTATAAAATCTCAAAAAGCAGAAACCCAAATTCTCTAAGAATTGCAGAGATCGGGATATAGTTTGTAAGCAAAGAAGCTGGGATTATCTGCAAAGAACGTTTTTGTTTCTTTTATTAACATCTCTGGTATTCTCATTTGTTGTTTTATTTTATTTCAAAGTATATAGATTACCGTGACTTTATATGCAAGTGTTCCAATTAAAGCTAGGTTTCTCTTTATACAATACATTAAAGTGCAGTTGATTTGAATTCAATGACACTGTCCTGAAATTTATTATATTGTCTTAAGTGTGGTTTTGGAGACTGTTACCCTCTGAATGTTAATACCAAAAAAATAACCTGGTTTTTTTTTTCTTTGCGGTTTTACCCAGAACAGTCCATCTGGGTTGCTAGGCTAAAGATAAAATATTTTTTAAAAATTGCATTTCAAGCAGCAAATACACATTTCAGTCATATGATATGAAAATGATCCAGCCTATATAACTCCTACTGCTTACTTTCAAAAAATTCCCTTGTTCCTAAGTCAGTTCAGTGGTTATTAGAAGTAGTCACTGATGTAAATTCCATCTTGTTTATGAAAACCTTTTGAACAAAGCATTGATTGTCCAGGGATCATAAAAAAAGTTAAGATCTATAAAATGTTGGCATCGCTACTATTTGGGGCACGAGAATGACATGCATATAAATCATAGTTTATTGGCACAGACTTTTATACTCAGAAAGAAGGCTTTGCTGAAAATGTACTGTAATTCCCCTCTTTTATAGATTTGTTTTTAAAGTATTCTGAATCAGGAAAGAAACTCAGAAGCAAATTCTAGTCTGCAGTAGGAATCAAGGGCACAACAAGTCTTTTATAACTTGGGTTAACTACTGTAGAGGGGCAGCTTAGGCAGAGTTTGGGGAAATCAGGGTGTCTGGAAAGGCCTTGGTCTGAAGCTTTTGGAGGGAAAGTCATCCATATAGCTGATGTCCCTCCATGCAACCTCAACCACATGTCTGTTATTTTGTAGGAAAGGGCCTACTATCATCATTTAGGAGCAGTAATGGTTTACTAAAGGCTTTCAAAGGAGTACTCTGTCCCATTCTACCCATCATGAGGTGGATGAAAGAGGGCTTTTATGCTGACAGATTTTCCTCTTAACAGGAGGGGATTTTTGGGGGACATTTTTGCAAACCTTGATCCATAGCCCCTCTAAGAAGGACAAGGAGAGCAATCTCCTGCCAATGATTGGCTAAGCACATGAAGACCCCTTTGTGCCTCATACACCACTGCTTTTCGTGATCCATGGCTGGTGAAACTCCTCTCCTGATGCAGTCCCAGATGAGATGTCATCCAGGCAAGGTCTATCTCTCTATATCCACACGGAACAAGAACTGGCAGTGTTATTTGTTGGTTTAAAATGGCATCATGATGGAAAATAGCTGTTCGGGTCTCACTGCACAAAGTGATCTAATTCTCTTGGATTTTCTAACAGGAAGATTTTAAAGGTGTTGGTCACCTAATCATCCTAAGAATGACTTAGTTTTAGAAGCTTCAACTCAGTTAGAACTTGTAGGATAGCTGCAGAATCCCAGTCTCAAAGGGTATGCCCCACTGGGTGGTGTAAAATCAACAGCACAAACTGTACAGGACCATTCACGTCCTGATATCAGAGCACCCCGTTCTGGCATTGCTCCAGTTCCAGACAACAGAACTGTCACTGGAGTTACACCAGAATAAAACAAGAGAAACAGCAGCGAACCAGCCTAAGACACCTCACAGCTAAGTCTTTCCTGTTTCTTTTCCAGTAGCAAAATTTTGGCAGCCACCAGGGATCAATGCTGTTGTTAGCACTGAAGTGCTGCACCAAAGAGCAAACACTCCAGTGATCCAAGCAATTTTCTGTTAAGTCATTCTACTGGACTGCAGGGCTTGCGGGTGGGATTATCCCAAGTGAACAATATGGCAATGCCGCAAGACTAAGTCCTTACTATTTCTTGGAATTTTAGTAAGAGCCATAAAATTCACTGTTGGCACCTGAATCTTTAGAAGCACTAAGTGAATTAAACAATCAAGCCTCAATCCTGCAGCTCTTCTCCTCATATGATGCTTATTAAAATTCATGTGGTGTAGTGCTTCTTGAATGGATTCCAAAATTTTCAAGCAGAAATGCCAAAAATTAGGTTCATAAATCCATATCTAAGATTTTTAACAAGGTTATGCTCCTTTCCAATTTTCTTGGGCTTCTGAAGTTTGCAAATTCTAGAGCTTTTGAAAAAAAAAAAAGGCCAAATTTTAAGAAGGTCTTTAGACTGAGTTAGTCTGCATTAAGACCATTTTCTAGAATTTTTTAGAACTGTCCATCGTAGGTGTCAGGACTAGTCCTGTGAGGGCTAAAGGAGGCATTGTAAGGCAGCCCTGTTGTGTTCTGGGTTGACTCTAGTTCTCTGGAGCTAAGATACCACAGGAGAGCTGATTTGAATGCTGTACATATGGCTAATGAGGATGGCTTCTGTCAAGTTTGAGACTTGACCCACAGACTGTTACGGGATATTCCCACTGGGAGCACAATGTTTCTACTCATCTTAACAAAGTGATCCATCACTGATCACAGGGCATAACTATTTCATAACTCTGCCTGTAATAAATAAGTTCACCCTCAAAAAAAGTCAAGGGAAAAGTAGCTGTAGGAGATCAGAAAACTAGGAACAATGGCTAGTAAAATCACAGCCAGAAGTTTACAAAAACTTGACAACGTGTGTAAGTCAGAGCCACTGCATACATGCTTAAGTCATGCCAGCTTGTCTGCACACACAGCATAAACCACATAACCACATCCAGAAATGCTGTGTTACAGTCCAAGGATTCTCCATTTAAAGGAGACAATTAATGAGTTGCATGGTTCTTCTTGAGATTGTCTTCAGTAGTGTTTGATCATATTTTTAAGCCACAGGATCCATTTAGGAGAGCCAAAACTATGTATAAATCATGCAGAATCACAGAATATGTTGAGTTGGAAGGGACCCACAAGGATCATCGAGTCCAACCCTGAGGCCTGCACAGGACCATCCCCAAGAGTCACACCATGTGCCTGAGAGTTGCAGAACTGGGTGTGAGGCAGCTAGACAGGCTGCTAGCTTGGAAAAAACATCATGGAGACAGGAAAGACATGGTTATCAGGACAAGGACTTGTGCATGTGTTAGAATAGCTTGTGTGTCAGGGAATGTGTAGTTCAGCCACACTGTCCTCTACTGGCTCTCTGAAAATGATGTTTTTATTCATGCTCTTTTCATTCTTTCATGCCCAATTTAAAGCATTTCAACAGAATCATACTTTCAGACAGTCCATCTCCTTCACCTCATCTCTCTCTACCCTCAATACTTGTAAAAACCAAGAAAGCAGAGTCTTTATGACTGTGAAAGCTTCGTGATGTTTACTCTCCAGCTTTTAAGACCTTTGTCAGAAACAAGGAAGAGTTTCAGTATACTCTGGTGTAGTCTTCTCTGTCTCCCTCCTTCTCTACTTGTGTTGTCTCTTTTTCTTGGTGTTTACCACTCTTTCTTACACACATTTTCACAGAAGTGACAGAAACTCCTCCAATCACTTCAGCATTGCAGTTGGAGCTGTCTGCAAACACTACATGTGGCACAGGGTGGTCTGTGACCTCCTCCTGCAGAGACCACCCCACAGCCACCCTGCTGCTAAAGCCCTGCAAATTGTGCCCAATGCACAGCTCAAGCCTCCCTTGGTAATAATAATGCAAAAATACAACAAACTTACAATTATACGTGTTCTCCAGTCTGGGGATTTTTTTCCTTCATAAAAGCCTTCCTTCACATGTTTCATTCCTTACCGGGGTGTGAATATTCCTGGTATCTTTGGAAAGACTGATCTGACAAGATCTAAGATAAGGAGAGTGGTGAGGCACTGGCACAGGTTGCCCAGAGAAACTGTGGATGCCCCATCCTTGGAAGTGTTCAAGGCCAGGTTGGAACGGGCTCTGAGCAACCTGGTGTAGTGGAAGGTGCCCCTGCTCATGGCAGGGGGTTGGAACAAGGTGGTCTTGAAGGTCCCTTCCAACCCAAACCATTCTGTGTTGCTGGGAATCTAAATGAAAGCAGGCCTTTCCACTGCTGGCCCATGCATGTCCCCTGGCATGCTGCTTCAGAGGTTTTCAGCTTGCAAACTGACTGCTCTGTGCTCTGTGGGGATCCTGCAGGCACCAACACCCTCTGTGCTGCTTTCAGGTTCTGGACGACAGCTGAGACCAGCTGAGCCCCCGGGAGATGCTGACGCCGATGCGGATGCAGAGGATGAAGAGTCTGTGAGTTTTTTAGAGTTTTTCTGTGATGAGAGTTTGGCAAAATAAGATCTTAAATATTTTGTTTATAGCTGAGTCTTGCTGGTGATTTTCCTCCCCATTAAAAATCTCTGCTTGGGATTGTCCTGCCAGCTCAAAAGCGAGAAAGTTGCTTCAGTAAAAAGGCATCTGCTCTTTGCCATGATTCACCAGCATAAGTTTACTACCAAGACTTAGGAAACTATTACATGGCTGTTAACTACAGTAATTTTTCTTTAAAGATTTAGTTGGTTTAGGTTCCCTGTTGTCTGACTCCAGAAGGAAGCATGCCAAGTGCGTGTCAGCAGAAATTCCTGCTGGGACTTTTCCATGGTTTGCTTGGTTATAGAGGGCAATAAAGCTTGAAGCCACAGGATGAAAGGTTTAGGTGTGCAAATAAAGTAGGGGAGGGAATTTTTTTTTTTTTACTTTTTCAATTATTATTGATCTGTCATTATTTTCAGTCTGTCCCACCTGTAGGTACAAACAATACATAAAGAAAAACAGAATCAGTGTACCACTGTTTTTGTCTCTCAGGACTCTGTCCCTTGTGTTTTTGAGTGCTTTAACATGAGAATTGTATTTGGTTTTGACCTAAAAGAAGAGTTATTGGTTATTTTTCATTCAACATACTAATGAAAGATTTATACTCAGAATGAGACTATGAGTATCTAGAGAAATTCTCCTGAGAAAATGGGTGACTGTTAATTTGTCAATGTTCCTTTACCACCATTCATTTCTGTTCCACAGGTTAATGAAGTGGCAGTAGAAGACATTCGTCCAAGGCCACAAGGATCCTCTCCAGTTTATGAGTATCCCACAGAAGAAGAATATTTAAAGGCAAGACACTAAATTTTTGTGCAGGCATGGCTTTACTAAGTTGATTCAAGAGGCTTTAGCTCCTACAGCTAGAAGAGACTCATATGTCATATAATGGAATATTGTTGCAGCCATATTGTTTTCTTGTACCCACCAAAATCTGGTCCATGTTCATTGATGGCTTTATTTTGTACTGGATTTTGCTGGCCATGTTCTTGTTTCTTGGCAAAAAACAAACTTGACTTCATTCCTTAATGGACGTGGGACAGAGAATGTAAAGAAGTCACAGTGTTTTTCTTGTTAGAATATATAACTGTCTTGAATCTAGTAAATAAGTGTTTCAAAATTACCTGTAACTCTTGGTTATTAAATGTTAGAGATTTAATTAGTATAGCTATGTTAAGATAAGTAGGCAGCAGTTTGAAATTCATGCTGAAGTTGAATAAGTGAAAAAAAAAATAAAAATGCACATTTACGAAATAAAAGCATGGGCATTGTGTGACATTAAGACACAGAATAACTTCCCATGTCTTAAGACATTTGGTTTCTGGCATTCATTTAATGCAAATTTTGGTACAATGAAGGGAGACCTTAGCATCTAAATTACTACTGGGAATAGCATGTTTAAATCATTCATGTTGTACATTGCACTTGCAAATCCCAATTTTACTCTGTTGCCATTAAAGTCAGCCTGAGTTCTTAGTCTAAACCAGGAATTTTAACTGACTTTTGTTGTACCTGACAACAACATGACTTCTGAACACTAAATAATTGAAAATTATTTTTCAGCTTCAAGAAGAAAACAAAAAACGTTCTACAGACAAATCAAAACAGAGTCATCCACAGGTCAGTCTAAAAGCACTCCGTACTTCTAGGCATGAGCCTTGCAAAGTGAAGTTTATTATAACACTCAGACATGAAGGCTGGACAGAAGGAAGGACAAATGGATGAAGAATCGCTTTAGACTTGTTTTGACCAGAAACTTCACAAATTGCCTAGTTGTGGCACAGGCATAAGCACTTACTTGTCCTGTTCAGGGTCCTTCCATAGTTCTTTTTAGCATTCTTCCTTTATCCTTCTCTGGTTTGAATACAGTAGAGCATTAGCTCTTAGTCTGTCTTTTTTGGCCCACTGACTTTAATTCAAGTGTTTAACATATTCACAGAAAATCTTTCAACCCCAAAAGATTCCATGTGTTTCACATTTTAAAATTATAACATGTTTTCCCTGTGGCCTTGATCCAGCGTAACCCTAACACGTGCTTAATTCTAATTTAGAACAGAATCAAACCCACACTGAACGCGAGTGGGTTATCTCTATTTTAGATAATCTTTCCTGAGCTATTGAAAATATACCTCATCAGACTCAACTTTTTATTGTAAAGTAGAACTCTTTGATACAAATGAATAAAAATGATAAATTCACACCTTTTTTTATCTCTAGGAGACAATGGAGGTGACCCTGAAAACAGAAGCGGAAGCTGGTGCTAGTGGTTTTAGTGTGAAAGGTGGAGGAGATGAAGGAATATTTATTAAAAAAGTACTTAAGGAATCTCCTGCTTCAAAAATATTTAGTCTTAAAGAAGGTACAGTCTGATTTTTTATTTTGTTTTGATTTTATTTTGTATCTTTAAACAATGAGATAGACAGCTCTATGTGCATATAGATACCTGCCTGATCTGTCATCTGTTTAGGTAACAGAAATAGTAGATTGCAAACCAACTAATATTTATGTGAGAGCTTAACCTGTCTGTATTAATGATTTCAAAGATCACTTGCTTGAGCAATAATGAAATGTGATTTTTTAGTATATGATAAAAAAAACTTTCACTGGAACAGTGAAAAAGACACATAGAAGGTAGTATGTACATAACTAAAATACAAAAAAAACAAAGCCACAACTCATGACATGCATGCAGAACCTTCCTTTGATTCCTTCACAAAATATAGCGTGCCACAGAGCTGCAATAAATAGTGGTTTAAACAAGAACAAAACTCCAAAGTCTAAATACTGAAAAATGTAAGAGGAAACTTTTTTACTGTTAGGGTGGTCAGATATTGGAACAGGTTTTTCAGAGGTAATGGAGTCACTGTCCTTGGAAGTCTTCAAAACCTAACTGCACGCAGACCTGAGAAACTGCCTGCAGCTGACCCTTCACTCAGCAGGTCAGGTGGACTAGATGATATCCAGAGGTCCTTGCCAGCCTTAACTATTCCATGATTCTATTATGTGAACATAATTTCCTATTTTAAATAAAAGGATGTGATAATTATTTTTTTATGGGCATTGTTTCAACAGAACTTGAAAAACTGTAAGAAAACACAGAGTAATTGAAATGATCCATGATTCCACTTGCAGGTGATCAGCTTCTAAGTGCTACAATATTTTTTGATAACATCAAATATGAAGATGCACTCAAGATTCTCCAATATTCCGAGCCATACAGAGTCCAGTTCAGCCTCAAAAGAAAAATTGCTGTCAAAGAAGAGCTAGAACACCCTACAGCTCAATACAAAAAGGAAAGAACAAGCCAGGTGGGTATTAGATTAGTTTACAAAATTTGGATAATATAGTGTAGCAACATGGAAATAGATCAGAAAACACACACTTGTGTCTTCTTAAGACTGATGCATGTGTTTAAACTTACTAGCATGACTATTCTTGACCAAAAAAAAACCAAAAAACCCCACACAGTATTTTGCAGCTTTCTATGAAACCATAGATTTGATTCAAATAAACAATTTTATGTTGGGGTATAAAAGTATTCTTTAGTGAGTCAGCATTTTTTTGTGCTTAATTGTCAATTGATAGAACAGACTCAGGTAATCTCTGTAATACTTATATTCAATATTTTCCAAAATGTAAAATATCAGAAAATATTTTTCTCCGAAACTTATCCATCAGATTTTTTTTCTTAAAAATATGTTTCATCCCTCATATCTTGATAGACATGATCTGTTCATAGGTTTCCATCACCTTAAAATCTATTTTTTCTTTATATACATATATATAAATATATAAATATATATATTATATATAATAATAATAATATATATGGAGCCCCTGGTGGTCTAGTGGTAAGGGCGCAGCACTGTCACCCGAGACCCGGGTTCGATTCCTGGTCAGGGCCACTCCCGAGCAGATGGAGCTCGTTAACCCTTAAAAAGGCAACCCACCTACGTCCTAAGGACCTCGCTGCCACCGTCCAAGCTCGCTTGGCCCCGGCAGATGAACCTTAGGATTAAAGGGTGGGCTCAGTTCCGCGCACACTGTGTCTCACCTAAAAAATCCAATGCGCAGGCTGGAAGGTGGAAAGACCTTCCCTGGATCTTCGCTCGCGAAGACTGGCCATTATTATTATTATATATATGTACAGATATATAGATATAGAAACCTCTATTTAGTGCAGTGTTTTGCAAAGAATGTAAACCTTCATAAATCAATATATTACAGTTATATAATCAATTTGTTTTGTATAATTTCTTCCTGACAATATATATATATATATATATATAAAATTTTTATTGTTTTTTATGGAAGAAGTAGATACCATTAATACAAAGAACTTTTTTCTACAAATTTTATAGTATGTCTTTTATTTTCTCTTGCACCTATATTTAGGTTACTTCTAATCTTCTGACTACTATTTGTTCTTTCAGGAGAAAGAACTCAGTGAGAGCATTCCTGAAGAAACACTTCATGTTTCAGGAAAAGCCACTTCAGAAGAAGACAGGGAAACATTAATTGCAAACCAAAGAGTAGGAAGAAGCAAGAGACCTAAAAAAGACAGATTATCATGGCCAAAATTCCAGTCAATCAAAAATAAAAAGATATTGAGGCACAGAAGATCTCATAGTACATCAGATGCATATGAGCCTGCTGTACAGGATATTTCCCCTACAAGCACAGACACAGAGTCTCAATTTCCACAAGAAATCCATACCAAGGAAAAAAAAGGAAGCCAAAAGAAGCTGAAGTTCCCTAGCATTGGATTCAGAATGCACAGGTCCAAAACTGAACTACAAGAGAAGCAAAAAAAAGAAATAAAAACTACACTGATCTCTGAAAGAGAAAAAATACATGAAGAAGATATTAGCCTGGAAAATCCTGAAATCCTAACTGTTGAATATACTACATCTACTACTTATGAAATGAAAACAGGGGAGGTACATGAAACTTTACCAAAAGACTTAAAAGATATGAAAAATGGCATCCCATCTCACGTAAAACAATGCCCTGAAGTTGAAATAAGCATTAAAAAAGAAAAAGACATGGAATCAACATCAAAATTTAGTTTACCTGAAGTACCAGACATAACAACAGAGATACCAAAGCCCAGTTTAGAAAAAGCAGATCTGAAAGAAAGTCCAATTGAAAAAACACCACAGGCATCATCAAAATCCCGAAAAAAGAAACAGAAAGGAACACCAGTTAAAAAAGAAGGAGAAAGTGAAATTAACATAGACTTGATGGGTCACACAGCTAAAGGATCTGTACAGGTAAAAGGCCTAGAAATAGGCACTGCAAAAGCAGAATTAAACACATCTGATACACTGGAAACAGGAGAAAAACAAGCAGAAGAAGACGCAAAGATATTAACAATTCAGAAAACAAAATTTGGGATTTCACTGCCCAAAACAAAAGAGACAGAGACTGAAACAACCAAACAGGGAAGTGATGTTCCACATTCAATACCAGAAAAAACAACTGATTCGACTTCAGAGGATGGCAGGAATTTGGATGTGAAAACACACATATCTGATGCAGAACCAGAAGTATCTTCTTGGAAAATACAAATGCCTTCATTCAAAATGACCAAAACACCTAAAACAGACATGAAAATAGCAAGACAAGAAAGCACAGGTGAATCAGAAGATACTGTAAAAGAGGAACAGATAGAAGAAGATGGCATGCCCACAGGTGACAAAACCATAAAGTTGGAAATTGGAATGAAGACAGGAGAAAAAGATATAGAGGGAAAAGAAAGCAAATTTAGACTGCCAAAGTTAAAATTTCCTACATTTACCTGGTCAACTACCAAGGATGAAACAGGGAAAACTGAAGGACAACTAAGTGAAATGGAAGGAAAAATGCCAACACTAAAAGAAGGAGCAGAAGCAGAGATATGTGGATCAGCAGGAGAAATGAAGATTCCAAGTCTTGAAATGGAAACTGGAATATCTAAAGGAAAAACAAAAGAAAACGATATCATAGAAAAGACAAAAGTAAGTCAGCCAAGTCCAAAAAAAATAATTATAAAACATCCCAAGGTAGAAAATGATTTTCAAAACATTAATGGAGAAATACTGATGTCTACACCACAAATTGAAATAAAAAAGGACGAAGAACTATCACAAATTGACATCAAGGCTCCCAAGGTGGACATCAGCATGCCTTCCGTGGACGTCACCCTTCCCAAGGCCAGCGTTGACGTGCAGGCGCCCGAGGCGGGCCTCAGCCTGGAAGGGGAAGCAAAAGCCCCAGAGAAGGAGACCGGCAAGAGCAAGGACGGCAAGTTCAAGATGCCCAAGTTCGGCATGCCTTCCTTTGGCTGGTCCAGCAGCAGAGAGGCCAAGGGCAGCGTGGCCGCTGAGGTGGACGTGAGCCTCAAGGAGCCCCAGGTGACAGTGCCCTCGGGAGCGGCCGAGCTGGACGTCAGCCTCAAGGAGCCCCATGTGACGCTGCCCTCAGGAGCCGCCGAAGTGGAGGTGACCCTGCCCGGGGCCGAGATCCAAGCGCCCGGCGTGGAGGTGAGGGTGGAGGCGGGCACCGCAGGAGAGGGCGAGAAAGGTCGATTCAAGATGCCAGACGTCAAGATGCCCAGCGTCAAGCTGCCCAAAGTCAAAGCTCCCCACGCGCAGGTCAGCCTGCCAAAGGCCGAGGTGTCGCTGCCCAAAGGCCAGGAGGGTGAAGTCGGCCTGCAGGGCCCCGAGGCCGAAGGCGGCCTGGAGGTGACTGCCGGCAAGGTTGAGGGCGGCGGCATGAAAATACACATGCCCAAAGTCAAGGTGCCCAGCGTGGTGTTCTCGAAGCCCACCGTCAAGGCTCCCAAAGTGGAGGCAGACGTCAGCCTCCCGCAGGCAGAGCTGAAGGCTGGCGCCGCCGACGTCAGCATCGCGGCCCCCTGACATCAAGCTGCCCTCCGTGGAAGGCTCCCTGGAGCTCCAGGCGCCCGAGATAGACCTCAAAGCACCCTCCGCTGAAGTCTCGCTCGACGGGCCAAAGTGGAAGCCTCGGGCCTGAAAGGGAAGCTTAAGATGCCCAAGTTCGACAAGCCCAAATTCGGAGTGTCCTCCCCAAGGCGGAAGGGCCCGAGGTCAGCCTGCCCAGCGCAGAGGTCGAGCTCCCCTCCGCCACCGTGACGGCAGCAGGGGAGGGCCCCGGCCTGGACCTCAAAGCCGAGGTGCCCGGCGCCAAGGCGGAAGGGGCCGGCTGGAAGCTGGAAAAGCCCTCCCTGAAAATGCCCAAAGCTGACATCAAGGCTCCCAAGGTGGACATCAGCATGCCTTCCGTGGACGTCACCCTTCCCAAGGCCAGCGTTGACGTGCAGGCGCCTGAGGCGGGCCTCAGCCTGGAAGGGGAAGCAAAAGCCCCAGAGAAGGAGACCGGCAAGAGCAAGGACGGCAAGTTCAAGATGCCCAAGTTCGGCATGCCTTCCTTTGGCTGGTCCAGCAGCAGAGAGGCCAAGGGCAGCGTGGCCGCCGAGGTGGACGTGAGCCTCAAGGAGCCCCAGGTGACGGTGCCCTCGGGAGCGGCCGAGCTGGACGTCAGCCTCAAGGAGCCCCATGTGACGCTGCCCTCAGGAGCCGCCGAAGTGGAGGTGACCCTGCCCGGGGCCGAGATCCAAGCGCCCGGCGTGGAGGTGAGGGTGGAGGCGGGCACCGCAGGAGAGGGCGAGAAAGGTCGATTCAAGATGCCGGACGCCAAGATGCCCAGCGTCAAGCTGCCCAAAGTCAAAGCCTCCCACGCGCAGGTCAGCCTGCCAAAGGCCGAGGTGTCGCTGCCCAAAGGCCAGGAGGGCGAAGTCGGCCTGCAGGGCCCCGAGGCCGAAGGCGGCCTGGAGGTGACTGCCGGCAAGGTTGAGGGTGGCGGCATGAAAATACACATGCCCAAAGTCAAGATGCCCAGCGTGGTGTTCTCCAAGCCCACCGTCAAGGCTCCCAAAGTGGAGGCAGACGTCAGCCTCCCGCAGGCAGAGCTGAAGGTCGGCGCCGCCGACGTCAGCATCGCGGCCCCCGACATCAAGCTGCCCTCCGTGGAAGGCTCCCTGGAGCTCCAGGCGCCCGAGATAGACCTCAAAGCACCCTCCGCTGAAGTCTCGCTCGACGGGGCCAAAGTGGAAGCCTCGGGCCTGAAAGGGAAGCTTAAGATGCCCAAGTTCGACAAGCCCAAATTCGAGTGTCCTCCCCCAAGGCGGAAGGGCCCGAGGTCAGCCTGCCCAGCGCAGAGGTCGAGCTCCCCTCCGCCACCGTGACGGCAGCAGGGGAGGGCCCCGGCCTGGACCTCAAAGCCGAGGTGCCCGGCGCCAAGGCGGAAGGTGCCGGCTGGAAGCTAGAAAAGCCCTCCCTGAAAATGCCCAAAGCTGACATCAAGGCTCCCAAGGTGGACATCAGCATGCCTTCCGTGGACGTCACCCTTCCCAAGGCCAGCGTTGACGTGCAGGCGCCCGAGGCGGGCCTCAACCTGGAAGGGGAAGCACAAGCCCCAGAGAAGGAGGCCGGCAAGAGCAAGGACGGCAAATTCAAGATGCCCAAGTTCGGCATGCCTTCCTTTGGCTGGTCCAGCAGCAGAGAGGCCAAGGGCAGCGTGGCCGCCGAGGTGGGCGTGAGCCTCAAGGAGCCCCAGGTGACAGTGCCCTCGGGAGCGGCCGAGCTGGACGTCAGCCTCAAGGAGCCCCATGTGACGCTGCCCTCGGGAGCCGCCGAAGTGGAGGTGACCCTGCCCGGGGCCGAGATCCAAGCGCCCGGCGTGGAGGTGAGGGTGGAGGCGGGCACCGCAGGAGAGGGCGAGAAAGGTCGATTCAAGATGCCGGACGTCAAGATGCCCAGCGTCAAGCTGCCCAAAGTCAAAGCTCCCCACGCACAGGTCAGCCTGCCAAAGGCCGAGGTGTCGCTGCCCAAAGGCCAGGAAGGCGAAGTCGGCCTGCAGGGCCCCGAGGCCGAAGGCGGCCTGGAGGTGACTGCCGGCAAGGTTGAGGGCGGCAGCATGAAAATACACATGCCCAAAGTCAAGATGCCCAGCGTGGTGTTCTCCAAGCCCACCGTCAAGGCTCCCAAAGTGGAGGCAGGCGTCAGCCTCCCGCAGGCAGAGCTGAAGGTCGGGCGCCGCCGACGTCAGCATCGCGGCCCCTGACATCAAGCTGCCCTCCGTGGAAGGCTCCCTGGAGCTCCAGGCGCCCGAGATAGACCTCAAAGCACCCTCCGCTGAAGTCTCGCTCGACGGGGCCAAAGTGGAAGCCTCGGGCCTGAAAGGGAAGCTTAAGATGCCCAAGTTCGACAAGCCCAAATTCGAGTGTCCTCCCAAGGCGGAAGGGCCCGAGGTCAGCCTGCCCAGCGCAGAGGTCGAGCTCCCCTCCGCCACCGTGACGGCAGCAGGAGGGCCCGGCCTGGACCTCAAAGCCGAGGTGCCCGGCGCCAAGGCGGAAGGTTCCGGCTGGAAGCTGGAAAAGCCCTCCTGAAAATGCCCAAAGCTGACATCAAGGCTCCCAAGGTGGACATCAGCATGCCTTCCGTGGACGTCACCCTTCCCAAGGCCAGCGTTGACGTGCAGGCGCCCGAGGCGGGCCTCAACCTGGAAGGGGAAGCAAAAGCCCCAGAGAAGGAGGCCGGCAAGAGCAAGGACGGCAAATTCAAGATGCCCAAGTTCGGCATGCCTTCCTTTGGCTGGTCCAGCAGCAGAGAGGCCAAGGGCAGCGTGGCCGCCGAGGTGGACGTGAGCCTCAAGGAGCCCCAGGTGACAGTGCCCTCGGGAGCGGCCGAGCTGGACGTCAGCCTCAAGGAGCCCCATGTGACGCTGCCCTCGGGAGCCGCCGAAGTGGAGGTGACCCTGCCCGGGCCGAGATCCAAGCGCCCGGCGTGGAGGTGAGGGTGGAGGCGGGCACCGCAGGAGAGGGCGAGAAAGGTCGATTCAAGATGCCGGACGTCAAGATGCCCAGCGTCAAGCTGCCCAAAGTCAAAGCTCCCCACGCACAGGTCAGCCTGCCAAAGGCCGAGGTGTCGCTGCCCAAAGGCCAGGAGGGCGAAGTCGGCCTGCAGGGCCCGAGGCCGAGGCGGCCTGGAGGTGACTGCCGGCAAGGTTGAGGGCGGCGGCATGAAAATACACATGCCCAAAGTCAAGGTGCCCAGCGTGGTGTTCTCCAAGCCCACCGTCAAGGCTCCCAAAGTGGAGGCAGACGTCAGCCTCCCGCAGGCAGAGCTGAAGGTCGGCGCCGCCGACGTCAGCATCGCGGCCCCCGACATCAAGCTACCCTCCGTGGAAGGCTCCCTGGAGCTCCAGGCGCCCGAGATAGACCTCAAAGCACCCTCCGCTGAAGTCTCGCTCGACGGGGCCAAAGTGGAAGCCTCGGGCCTGAAAGGGAAGCTTAAGATGCCCAAGTTCGACAAACCCAAATTCGGAGTGTCCTCCCCCAAGGCGGAAGGGCCCGAGGTCAGCCTGCCCAGCGCAGAGGTCGAGCTCCCCTCCGCCACCGTGGCGGCAGCAGGGAGGGCCCGGCCTGGACCTCAAAGCCGAGGTGCCCGGCGCCAAGGCGGAAGGGGCCGGCTGGAAGCTGGAAAAGCCCTCCCTGAAAATGCCCAAAGCTGACATCAAGGCTCCCAAGGTGGACATCAGCATGCCTTCCGTGGACGTCACCCTTCCCAAGGCCAGCGTTGACGTGCAGGCGCCCGAGGCGGGCCTCAGCCTGGAAGGGAAGCAAAAGCCCCAGAGAAGGAGACCGGCAAGAGCAAGGACGGCAAGTTCAAGATGCCCAAGTTCGGCATGCCTTCCTTTGGCTGGTCCAGCAGCAGAGAGGCCAAGGGCAGCGTGGCCGCCGAGGTGGACGTGAGCCTCAAGGAGCCCCAGGTGACAGTGCCCTCGGGAGCGGCCGAGCTGGACGTCAGCCTCAAGGAGCCCCATGTGGCGCTGCCCTCGGGAGCCGCCCGAAGTGGAGGTGACCCTGCCCGGGCCGAGATCCAAGCGCCCGGCGTGGAGGTGAGGGTGGAGGCGGGCACCGCAGGAGAGGGCGAGAAAGGTCGATTCAAGATGCCGGACGTCAAGATGCCCAGCGTCAAGCTGCCCAAAGTCAAAGCTCCCCACGCGCAGGTCAGCCTGCCAAAGGCCGAGGTGTCGCTGCCCAAAGGCCAGGAGGGCGAAGTCGGCCTGCAGGGCCCCGAGGCCGAGGCGGCCTGGAGGTGACTGCCGGCAAGGTTGAGGGCGGCGGCATGAAAATACACATGCCCAAAGTCAAGGTGCCCAGCGTGGTGTTCTCCAAGCCCACCGTCAAGGCTCCCAAAGTGGAGGCAGGCGTCAGCCTCCCGCAGGCAGAGCTGAAGGCCGGCGCCGCCGGCGTCAGCATCGCGGCCCCTGACATCAAGCTGCCCTCCGTGGAAGGCTCCTGGAGCTCCAGGCGCCCGAGATAGACCTCAAAGCACCCTCCGCTGAAGTCTCGCTCGACGGGGCCAAAGTGGAAGCCTCGGGCCTGAAAGGGAAGCTTAAGATGCCCAAGTTCGACAAGCCCAAATTCGGAGTGTCCTCCCCAAGGCGGAAGGGCCCGAGGTCAGCCTGCCCAGCGCAGAGGTCGAGCTCCCTCCGCCACCGTGACGGCAGCAGGGAGGGCCCGGCCTGGACCTCAAAGCCGAGGTGCCCGGCGCCAAGGCGGAAGGTTCCGGCTGGAAGCTGGAAAAGCCCTCCTGAAAATGCCCAAAGCTGACATCAAGGCTCCCAAGGTGGACATCAGCATGCCTTCCGTGGACGTCACCCTTCCCAAGGCCAGCGTTGACGTGCAGGCGCCCGAGGCGGGCCTCAGCCTGGAAGGGGAAGCAAAAGCCTCAGAGAAGGAGGCCGGCAAGAGCAAGGATGGCAAGTTCAAGATGCCCAAGTTCGGCATGCCTTCCTTTGGCTGGTCCAGCAGCAGAGAGGCCAAGGGCAGCGTGGCCGCCGAGGTGGGCGTGAGCCTCAAGGAGCCCCAGGTGACAGTGCCCTCGGGAGCGGCCGAGCTGGACGTCAGCCTCAAGGAGCCCCATGTGACGCTGCCCTCAGGAGCCGCCGAAGTGGAGGTGACCCTGCCCGGGCCGAGATCCAAGCGCCCGGCGTGGAGGTGAGGGTGGAGGCGGGCACCGCAGGAGAGGGCGAGAAAGGTCGATTCAAGATGCCGGACGTCAAGATGCCCAGCGTCAAGCTGCCCAAAGTCAAAGCTCCCCACGCGCAGGTCAGCCTGCCAAAGGCCGAGGTGTCGCTGCCCAAAGGCCAGGAGGGCGAAGTCGGCCTGCAGGGCCCCGAGGCCGAGGCGGCCTGGAGGTGACTGCCGGCAAGGTTGAGGCGGCGGCATGAAAATACACATGCCCAAAGTCAAGGTGCCCAGCGTGGTGTTCTCCAAGCCCACCGTCAAGGCTCCCAAAGTGGAGGCAGGCGTCAGCCTCCCGCAGGCAGAGCTGAAGGCCGGCGCCGCCCGACGTCAGCATCGCGGCCCCTGACATCAAGCTGCCCTCCGTGGAAGGCTCCCTGGAGCTCCAGGCGCCCGAGATAGACCTCAAAGCACCCTCCGCTGAAGTCTCGCTCGACGGGGCCAAAGTGGAAGCCTCGGGCCTGAAAGGGAAGCTTAAGATGCCCAAGTTCGACAAGCCCAAATTCGGAGTGTCCTCCCCCAAGGCGGAAGGGCCCGAGGTCAGCCTGCCCAGCGCAGAGGTCGAGCTCCCCTCCGCCACCGTGACGGCAGCAGGAGGGCCCGGCCTGGACCTCAAAGCCGAGGTGCCCGGCGCCAAGGCGGAAGGGTCCGGCTGGAAGCTGGAAAAGCCCTCCCTGAAAATGCCCAAAGCTGACATCAAGGCTCCCAAGGTGGACATCAGCATGCCTTCCGTGGACGTCACCCTTCCCAAGGCCAGCGTTGACGTGCAGGCGCCCGAGGCGGGCCTCAGCCTGGAAGGGAAGCAAAAGCCCCAGAGAAGGAGGCCGGCAAGAGCAAGGACGGCAAGTTCAAGATGCCCAAGTTCGGCATGCCTTCCTTTGGCTGGTCCAGCAGCAGAGAGGCCAAGGGCAGCGTGGCCGCCGAGGTGGGCGTGAGCCTCAAGGAGCCCCAGGTGACGGTGCCCTCGGGAGCGGCCGAGCTGGACGTCAGCCTCAAGGAGCCCCATGTGGCGCTGCCCTCAGGAGCCGCCGAAGTGGAGGTGACCCTGCCCGGGGCCGAGATCCAAGCGCCCGGCGTGGAGGTGAGGGTGGAGGCGGGCACCGCAGGAGAGGGCGAGAAAGGTCGATTCAAGATGCCGGACGTCAAGATGCCCAGCGTCAAGCTGCCCAAAGTCAAAGCTCCCCACGCGCAGGTCAGCCTGCCAAAGGCCGAGGTGTCGCTGCCCAAAGGCCAGGAGGGCGAAGTCGGCCTGCAGGGCCCCGAGGCCGAGGCGGCCTGGAGGTGACTGCCGGCAAGGTTGAGGGCGGCGGCATGAAAATACACATGCCCAAAGTCAAGGTGCCCAGCGTGGTGTTCTCCAAGCCCACCGTCAAGGCTCCCAAAGTGGAGGCAGGCGTCAGCCTCCCGCAGGCAGAGCTGAAGGCCGGCGCCGCCCGACGTCAGCATCGCGGCCCCTGACATCAAGCTGCCCTCCGTGGAAGGCTCCCTGGAGCTCAGGCGCCCGAGATAGACCTCAAAGCACCCTCCGCTGAAGTCTCGCTCGACGGGGCCAAAGTGGAAGCCTCGGGCCTGAAAGGGAAGCTTAAGATGCCCAAGTTCGACAAGCCCAAATTCGGAGTGTCCTCCCCAAGGCGGAAGGGCCCGAGGTCAGCCTGCCCAGCGCAGAGGTCGAGCTCCCCTCCGCCACCGTGGCGGCAGCAGGAGGGCCCGGCCTGGACCTCAAAGCCGAGGTGCCCGGCGCCAAGGCGGAAGGTTCCGGCTGGAAGCTGGAAAAGCCCTCCCTGAAAATGCCCAAAGCTGACATCAAGGCTCCCAAGGTGGACATCAGCATGCCTTCCGTGGACGTCACCCTTCCCAAGGCCAGCGTTGACGTGCAGGCGCCCGAGGCGGGCCTCAGCCTGGAAGGGAAGCAAAAGCCCCAGAGAAGGAGACCGGCAAGAGCAAGGACGGCAAGTTCAAGATGCCCAAGTTCGGCATGCCTTCCTTTGGCTGGTCCAGCAGCAGAGAGGCCAAGGGCAGCGTGGCCGCCGAGGTGGGCGTGAGCCTCAAGGAGCCCCAGGTGACGGTGCCCTCGGGAGCGGCCGAGCTGGACGTCAGCCTCAAGGAGCCCCATGTGACGCTGCCCTCAGGAGCCGCCCGAAGTGGAGGTGACCCTGCCCGGGGCCGAGATCCAAGCGCCCGGCGTGGAGGTGAGGGTGGAGGCGGGCACCGCAGGAGAGGGCGAGAAAGGTCGATTCAAGATGCCGGACGTCAAGATGCCCAGCGTCAAGCTGCCCAAAGTCAAAGCTCCCCACGCGCAGGTCAGCCTGCCAAAGGCCGAGGTGTCGCTGCCCAAAGGCCAGGAGGGCGAAGTCGGCCTGCAGGGCCCGAGGCCGAAGGCGGCCTGGAGGTGACTGCCGGCAAGGTTGAGGGCGGCGGCATGAAAATACACATGCCCAAAGTCAAGGTGCCCAGCGTGGTGTTCTCCAAGCCCACCGTCAAGGCTCCCAAAGTGGAGGCAGGCGTCAGCCTCCCGCAGGCAGAGCTGAAGGCCGGCGCCGCCGGCGTCAGCATCGCGGCCCCTGACATCAAGCTGCCCTCCGTGGAAGGCTCCCTGGAGCTCCAGGCGCCCGAGATAGACCTCAAAGCACCCTCCGCTGAAGTCTCGCTCGACGGGGCCAAAGTGGAAGCCTCGGGCCTGAAAGGGAAGCTTAAGATGCCCAAGTTCGACAAGCCCAAATTCGGAGTGTCCTCCCCAAGGCGGAAGGGCCCGAGGTCAGCCTGCCCAGCGCAGAGGTCGAGCTCCCCTCCGCCACCGTGGCGGCAGCAGGGAGGGCCCGGCCTGGACCTCAAAGCCGAGGTGCCCGGCGCCAAGGCGGAAGGGTCCGGCTGGAAGCTGGAAAAGCCCTCCCTGAAAATGCCCAAAGCTGACATCAAGGCTCCCAAGGTGGACATCAGCATGCCTTCCGTGGGCGTCACCCTTCCCAAGGCCAGCGTTGACGTGCAGGCGCCCGAGGCGGGCCTCAGCCTGGAAGGGAAGCAAAAGCCCCAGAGAAGGAGACCGGCAAGAGCAAGGACGGCAAGTTCAAGATGCCCAAGTTCGGCATGCCTTCCTTTGGCTGGTCCAGCAGCAGAGAGGCCAAGGGCAGCGTGGCCGCCCGAGGTGGGCGTGAGCCTCAAGGAGCCCCAGGTGACGGTGCCCTCGGGAGCGGCCGAGCTGGACGTCAGCCTCAAGGAGCCCCATGTGACGCTGCCCTCGGGAGCCGCCGAAGTGGAGGTGACCCTGCCCGGGGCCGAGATCCAAGCGCCCGGCGTGGAGGTGAGGGTGGAGGCGGGCACCGCAGGAGAGAGCGAGAAAGGTCGATTCAAGATGCCGGACGTCAAGATGCCCAGCGTCAAGCTGCCCAAAGTCAAAGCTCCCCACGCGCAGGTCAGCCTGCCAAAGGCCGAGTGTCGCTGCCCAAAGGCCAGGAGGCGAAGTCGGCCTGCAGGGCCCCGAGGCCGAGGCGGCCTGGAGGTGACTGCCGGCAAGGTTGAGGCGGCGGCATGAAAATACACATGCCCAAAGTCAAGGTGCCCAGCGTGGTGTTCTCCAAGCCCACCGTCAAGGCTCCCAAAGTGGAGGCAGGCGTCAGCCTCCCGCAGGCAGAGCTGAAGGCCGGCGCCGCCGGCGTCAGCATCGCGGCCCCTGACATCAAGCTGCCCTCCGTGGAAGGCTCCCTGGAGCTCAGGCGCCCGAGATAGACCTCAAAGCACCCTCCGCTGAAGTCTCGCTCGACGGGGCCAAAGTGGAAGCCTCGGGCCTGAAAGGGAAGCTTAAGATGCCCAAGTTCGACAAGCCCAAATTCGGAGTGTCCTCCCCAAGGCGGAAGGGCCCGAGGTCAGCCTGCCCAGCGCAGAGGTCGAGCTCCCCTCCGCCACCGTGGCGGCAGCAGGGAGGGCCCGGCCTGGACCTCAAAGCCGAGGTGCCCGGCGCCAAGGCGGAAGGTTCCGGCTGGAAGCTAGAAAAGCCCTCCCTGAAAATGCCCAAAGCTGACATCAAGGCTCCCAAGGTGGACATCAGCATGCCTTCCGTGGGCGTCACCCTTCCCAAGGCCAGCGTTGACGTGCAGGCGCCCGAGGCGGGCCTCAGCCTGGAAGGGGAAGCAAAAGCCCCAGAGAAGGAGACCGGCAAGAGCAAGGACGGCAAGTTCAAGATGCCCAAGTTCGGCATGCCTTCCTTTGGCTGGTCCAGCAGCAGAGAGGCCAAGGGCAGCGTGGCCGCCCGAGGTGGGCGTGAGCCTCAAGGAGCCCCAGGTGACGGTGCCCTCGGGAGCGGCCGAGCTGGACGTCAGCCTCAAGGAGCCCCATGTGGCGCTGCCCTCAGGAGCCGCCGAAGTGGAGGTGACCCTGCCCGGGCCGAGATCAAGCGCCCGGCGTGGAGGTGAGGGTGGAGGCGGGCACCGCAGGAGAGGGCGAGAAAGGTCGATTCAAGATGCCGGACGTCAAGATGCCCAGCGTCAAGCTGCCCAAAGTCAAAGCTCCCCACGCGCAGGTCAGCCTGCCAAAGGCCGAGGTGTCGCTGCCCAAAGGCCAGGAGGGCGAAGTCGGCCTGCAGGGCCCCGAGGCCGAAGGCGGCCTGGAGGTGACTGCCGGCAAGGTTGAGGCGGCGGCATGAAAATACACATGCCCAAAGTCAAGGTGCCCAGCGTGGTGTTCTCCAAGCCCACCGTCAAGGCTCCCAAAGTGGAGGCAGGCGTCAGCCTCCCGCAGGCAGAGCTGAAGGCCGGCGCCGCCCGGCGTCAGCATCGCGGCCCCTGACATCAAGCTGCCCTCCGTGGAAGGCTCCCTGGAGCTCAGGCGCCCGAGATAGACCTCAAAGCACCCTCCGCTGAAGTCTCGCTCGACGGGGCCAAAGTGGAAGCCTCGGGCCTGAAAGGGAAGCTTAAGATGCCCAAGTTCGACAAGCCCAAATTCGGAGTGTCCTCCCCAAGGCGGAAGGGCCCGAGGTCAGCCTGCCCAGCGCAGAGGTCGAGCTCCCCTCCGCCACCGTGGCGGCAGCAGGGAGGGCCCGGCCTGGACCTCAAAGCCGAGGTGCCCGGCGCCAAGGCGGAAGGGTCCGGCTGGAAGCTAGAAAAGCCCTCCCTGAAAATGCCCAAAGCTGACATCAAGGCTCCCAAGGTGGACATCAGCATGCCTTCCGTGGACGTCACCCTTCCCAAGGCCAGCGTTGACGTGCAGGCGCCCGAGGCGGGCCTCAGCCTGGAAGGGAAGCAAAAGCCCCAGAGAAGGAGACCGGCAAGAGCAAGGACGGCAAGTTCAAGATGCCCAAGTTCGGCATGCCTTCCTTTGGCTGGTCCAGCAGCAGAGAGGCCAAGGGCAGCGTGGCCGCCCGAGGTGGGCGTGAGCCTCAAGGAGCCCCAGGTGACGGTGCCCTCGGGAGCGGCCGAGCTGGACGTCAGCCTCAAGGAGCCCCATGTGACGCTGCCCTCAGGAGCCGCCGAAGTGGAGGTGACCCTGCCCGGGGCCGAGATCCAAGCGCCCGGCGTGGAGGTGAGGGTGGAGGCGGGCACCGCAGGAGAGGGCGAGAAAGGTCGATTCAAGATGCCGGACGTCAAGATGCCCAGCGTCAAGCTGCCCAAAGTCAAAGCTCCCCACGCACAGGTCAGCCTGCCAAAGGCCGAGGTGTCGCTGCCCAAAGGCCAGGAGGGCGAAGTCGGCCTGCAGGGCCCGAGGCCGAAGGCGGCCTGGAGGTGACTGCCGGCAAGGTTGAGGCGGCGGCATGAAAATACACATGCCCAAAGTCAAGATGCCCAGCGTGGTGTTCTCCAAGCCCACCGTCAAGGCTCCCAAAGTGGAGGCAGACGTCAGCCTCCCGCAGGCAGAGCTGAAGTCCGGCGCCGCCGACGTCAGCATCGCGGCCCCTGACATCAAGCTGCCCTCCGTGGAAGGCTCCCTGGAGCTCCAGGCGCCCGAGATAGACCTCAAAGCACCCTCCGCTGAAGTCTCGCTCGACGGGGCCAAAGTGGAAGCCTCGGGCCTGAAAGGGAAGCTTAAGATGCCCAAGTTCGACAAACCCAAATTCGGAGTGTCCTCCCCCAAGGCGGAAGGGCCCGAGGTCAGCCTGCCCAGCGCAGAGGTCGAGCTCCCCTCCGCCACCGTGACGGCAGCAGGGGAGGGCCCCGGCCTGGACCTCAAAGCCGAGGTGCCCGGCGCCAAGGCGGAAGGGGCCGGCTGGAAGCTGGAAAAGCCCTCCCTGAAAATGCCCAAAGCTGACATCAAGGCTCCCAAGGTGGACATCAGCATGCCTTCCGTGGACGTCACCCTTCCCAAGGCCAGCGTTGACGTGCAGGCGCCCGAGGCGGGCCTCAGCCTGGAAGGGGAAGCAAAAGCCCCAGAGAAGGAGACCGGCAAGAGCAAGGACGGCAAGTTCAAGATGCCCAAGTTCGGCATGCCTTCCTTTGGCTGGTCCAGCAGCAGAGAGGCCAAGGGCAGCGTGGCTGACGAGGTGGACGTGAGCCTCAAGGAGCCCCAGGTGACGGTGCCCTCGGGAGCCACCGTAGTGGACATTACCCTGCCTGAGGTGCAGGTTCAGGTGCCTAGTTCTGAAGTTCCTGTAGATTCTTTGTTTTCTAAAGAGGACGAGATGGGTAAATCTGGAAGTTCTCTATTTAGAATGCCTAAGGTTTCTCTTTCCAAAAGTTTCAAACCTCATCCAGAAAGTAAGTCCAAAGTTGATGTTTCATTGTCAGAATCTCTTAGTTGTTCTGTTACAGAGGATACTCCTGCTGTTCTTTCAGGTAGTGTCAGATCTAAACCCTTGCCAGACTTAAAGGGAGATAATATATCTAAAACTACTAAGTTCAGAATTCCTAGCTTGGGTTTCTCCAAAGTTGATTTGAGTTCATCTGTAGTTGACCCTGAGTCCTCATTTCAAAAAGAGGATATTACACTTACTAAATACCAGATTAATCTAACAGAATCTGAATCAAAAATACCTTCTCTTGCAGATGAAAATCTTTCAGATTTTGAAATTTTAAATGAAGATGATTTTGTGGAGCAAGAAGGTCTTAAACCAGAAGGTAAAACAAGAGCTGCTGGAGTATCTTTGAGTGACACAGATGTAACTGTTAAACTTCCTAAATTGCGAAAACCAAAATTTGGAATTTGGTCTAAGGGTAAAGCATCAGAAAGTGACATTGGTTTGAAAGTGGAATCTGATGTTTCCAAGGGAAGGATAACATCTGATTTAACTGATCCTGATATTGGAAAACCAACTCAGATGTCTGACGCCAAGTTAGGTGTCAAGTTGCACAAGCCTTCACTTCAAGTTATTTTGGATGCACCAACACTAGATTCTAATCTCTCACCAATAGAAGTTACCATGCCAAAATTAGAAGGAGAAATCCATGGTGCAGATTTAGACTGCAAGGCAGAACACGTAGTAATTTCTGGAGAGAAGGATACTGAGGAGAAAGAAAACAAATCTAAATCATCAAAATTCAAACTGCCTTCATTTCGTTGGTCACCAAAGAAAGAAGCTATTGTCCCGTCTCAGGCTGAGGAACATCTGGAAGAACCACTTTTGTCTACTTTATCTGGAGACACAGACTCTGAATTAACTTTTCCTACTCCTGAGAATCAATACGTTCATGTAGAACTTGATACATCTATAGAAAAAGATGGTGAAAAGGTCAGAAACAAGAAGTCCCAATTTACCATGCCAAAGATCTCATTCCCTAAAATTAAGGGTCAGAAAGTCCAAGTCTCTCTGCCTGTACTCGGGACTGATGTTTGTGGTCCCAAACAAGAAAAAGAAGATGTTTCAATACAGAAATCTGAGAAAGAGGTTAGTGGGGAAAATGCAGGAATGGGCATAAAAATGCCAAAAGTTATGGTCCCAACTTTGGAATTTTCCAAACCGGAAGTCAAAGCTCCTGAAATAGACATGGATGTTAGCAGGCCTACAGGTGAGGTCATACTTCGTATGTGTGAAGAAGATGATCTAAAATTGAAATCAGCTGCTGATGATGCCAGCCTCTCCACCTCAGGCATTAAGATGACAACTGAAGGTTCACTTGAGATGAAGAGTCCTGACGCAAGTGTTGAGAGAACATCAAGTGAAATTGCTGTGAGTGATGTAGAAATAAAAGCTGAAGGTCCTGAAGGGAAAACAAAAATGTCTAAATTCCAAATGCCAAAGTTAGGAATTACACTTTCTAAAGGGAAAGGGCCAGAAAAGGAGGTCAGCCAATCCAAATCAGAAGTCAAGGTTCCCCAACTAAAAGCAACAGTAGAAATATCTGACATTGCTGTTGTTGAAGGACCAAACTTGGAGGTGGAATGTGGCACAGGAATAGAGACTTACAGCCCTCAAGTTGACAGTAAGGCATCAGAGGTTGATGTTCACCTCCCTTCAGCTGACATTTCTGTTCCAAAACCAGACAGTGACATTCAGGATTCAGATTCAGCACTAAAAATCAAAGGGGAAATAAAGCCAGATGGAGATGGAGAAGAGAAAGAAGGACATTTCAAAATGCCAAAGTTCAAACTTCCGTCCTTCAGTTGGTCACCAAAGAAGGAAGCAAGTGTTAAACTGGATTCTGGAGCAAACCTGGAAGACCAAAAGCTTGCTGTAATGTCAAGCAGAATAGACACAGAAGTGCGAGGAACTGCAGTGGTTGATGAAGGTAGTGGGACAGCCCTTGATCTGGAAATATCTACAGGAAAAGTTGAACAAAAAAGTCCAGTTAAAAAGCCTCAATTTGTCATGCCTAAAATTTCACTCTCCAAGATCAAGGTTCCAAAATCTCAGTCTCATTCGTCAAAAGTTGAAGTTGATGCTACTCTTCTTAAAACAGAAAGAGATGGTGATGATTCAATTCAGATACCTGATATAGAAAGAAGTCATTCCGAAAGGACCGAAGAAGGGGCACAAATAAACATAAAAGTGGCTGATGTTAAGTTCCACACGTCAGAATTTTCCAAAATAGAAACTGAAACTTTTCAAAACAAAATGGGAATCAGCTCAGCAAAGACTGATGCCTCTCTGACTCCCTCAGAGGGGAGTTTTCAGCAGGTTGACCTAAAGTCAAGCTCTACCGATGAATGTAACATTCAAAAAACAGGTATTAAGATCCCCAAAGGAGAAGCTTCAGTTGAACTGAAGAGCCCTGATATAGTAACAGAAAGATTGTCAGTTGTGGATGGAAGAAAAGTGAAATTGGAAGATCCTGAAGGGAAGATGAAAATTCCCAAATTCCAGAAACCAAAGTTTGGAATCTCTCTAACAAAAGGGAAATGCCCAGAGGCAGAGATCAGCTCTCCAAAAATAGAAGCTGAACAACCTCAGCTAAAAATAACAAATGAAATTGCTGACATTGCTGTGGGAGTTCCAGCATCAGAACTTTTATCTGATATGTCAGATCCTGGAGTAGTTGTTTGTAAGATAAAAACACCCCAAGATCTGACTGATGGCATTGAAGCTCCAATAAGCCCCCAGTCAGTGTCTAAACCAAGGACAGAGGGAGCTATTGAGAGTCTTGAGGACAAAGAAATCAAATTAAAAGAAGAACATGAAATAAAAACTGAAGAAGTTCGGACTGAAGAACATCAGGGATGGTTTAAAATGCCAAAATTCAGAATACCTTCATTTGGCAGGACATCCTTAAAGGAAAAAAAGAGTGATGCTGATATTGAAAGAAGTATGGAAAAAACTCAGGTGAGCATTCCCTCTGCAAAAGTACAAACTGAAACAAGTATTCCCGAAAATACCTTCTCATTACCACATGCAGTTGCTGAAATTACTATTGGAAAAGAAGGGATTAAAAAATTTGAAGATTCTGTGAAGAGTTCTGATGTTAGCTTGTCAAAGATGGAAGGAGATATTTCATTGTCCACAGAAAGAACAGATAGTAGAGTGAATATTCCAAAAACTGAAACTTATGCAGACATAGTTAAGCGTGGTGCTGAAGGACAAAAATTGCATACTTCAGAATTCACAGTGTCTGCAGCAGAATTGCCTAAATCATACCTAAATGCTTCAGAAATTGACAAAGACAACAGTTTAACAAGTAAGTTTCCTACAGGTACTCTGACTCATCAAGAGCATAAAGTCAAACCACCGGATATGGAAGTCCCAAACATAGAAAGTTCCTCTAAATTAGAGACTTCAGGAGTAGGATGCAAACCATCATCAACTGGAGTTACTCTGGATGCAACACAGGTGAAAATAGGTGTTAGTCCTCCAAAGGAAGATTTAGATATTCAAAATAAAGAGGCAACAATTGAAAAAGGAAAGATAAAGGGTGAGGTGAAAATTGTAGGAAAAGACAGTGAAGAAAGTCAGTTTAAAAGGACTATGTGTGAATGGTCTACAACAAAGGGATCAGAAGATGGTACTTACGTTACTGCTAAGCTGGAAGATCTAAAGGTAGAAGTTCCAGGAGTGAAGACGAATGTTAAAATTACTAGAGTAGATCCTGAAACGAAATTTCAAGTGAAAAGTGTTGAAAAGGATGTGTCTGCAGGAGTGGAAGTGCAAGTAGAAGATAGAGCAGAAACAAGTAAAACTAAAGCATACAAGTTTAAGATTCCGAAGTTTGGAATGTTTCATTCAGAAATCAAGGGTTTTGAAGATGATATCAATGTGACAAAGTCAGAAGCTGAGTCAGTATCTGAAAGTGAAATAGGCACAGCAGAGATGCAGTTACAAAAACCAGAAGGATCTATTGGCCTGAAAAGTCCAGCTCTAGATTATATGGAAGCACCTACCAGAATAATAGGGGAAACAGTGGACCAATCACAACGTGGCCCAGAAGTAATTGTAAGAATTCCCAAACTAAAAATACCAAGATTCACTTTTAAAACTCTCCCAATTGAAGCTGATGTTTTAGTGTCAAAAGTGGTAACAGATCCAAAGGGATCTAGTGCTGATATTGAGGTAGTGCAACTGGAAGCAAGCTCTGCTATCTCTGATGAAACACCAGGGGCTCTAGAGGCAAGTATTCAAAAAGCAAAAAGCAAAATTCTGACGCTGACTGAACCTGACATTAAAACAGCACAAATGACAACTACCATAGAGTCCTCCCTTTCAAGTACAGGGCAAGACGTTCACTGGTCTTATGTAGAAGGCCAGGAGGTAAGTGAGAAAGTAGAACCTGAACACGTTGCTATTGAAAGGTGTGAGATTTACACTACTGAAATACTGAAAGAATCAGAGATTCTGTCATCAAAAGTCAAAACTGCTACACTGGGATTCTCGTTGCTGAAGGCAAAGTTGCCTGAATCACACAGTGACTTAGAAGTGGTAGTCCAGCAACCATCTCCAACAGAAGGTGGATCAGTGAAAAAACCTACATGTGCTGAGGAAAGCTTTGGAGTAGCAGCACAGAGAACTGGCAGTGCTGAGCTTAAACTATCTGACAAACCACATCATGAGTCTGAAAAATTTAGTGGAGAAGTAAGTTTGCCAAAGTTAAAAACATATGTTACTGAAGTAAAGCCTTCCAGTAAACTTGAAGAGAGTCTTCCTCATAAATCACCAGAGAGAATAACTTCGGGTCCTCTCTCTAAAGATGAAGATGTAGCTGAAGCCATGGAAGGTGAAGAAAAAGCAAAAACCAATGAGAAAGAAAAGACTGATAGCAAAAGATCTCCTGGAAGATTCAAGTTTTGGCTTCCAGGTGTTGGCTTTTCATCTTCTAGTGATGAAACAAGCACAGATGTAAAAACAGAAGTAAAAAAATCAGATCCAGAAGATATGAAATCTGCTGACACATCAGATGATTCCTCTAAGCAAACTGAAAAAACTGGATGGTTTAGATTTCCCAAGCTTGGTTTCACATCTCCTTCTAAAAAGGCTAAGTCTGTTGAAAAAGAAGAGATGGGTCATAAAGAGGGAAGAATCTCAGATGAAGATAGCCCATCAGATAAACCTGACGTATTTTTTGATGCACAGGAAAGCTTATCACCTAAAGAAACAACAAGTAATGAAAAAGTTGAAACTGATGGGGCCTCATCTATTGTGACATCTTTGGCAAGAACTGAACTAATCTTGTTGGAGGAAGAAAAAGATAGTAAATCTAATATTGATGGAGATACAACCAAATGAAGGTTGCATGTTCTCAGTCCTCAATGAAAACAAAATCATCTACATGTACAGAAAAGAATGTGTTTTTTTAATTTTCTAGTAACTGAAAATGAAAACCCAAAGCTGGTATCAATGAAAAGAGTTGAACAGAATTTACCACATGTAAATTTTCAAGTACCTGGATGTACTATATGATGCACTTATAAAAATAATGATTTCTTCAAATCTGCACCAAAGGCAATAGTTATGACAAGTACAGAGGAGCCCATAGTTTGAACAAAGTCTGAAAAAATATACCTGAATCATGAAAGTAAACGATTGAAAGGCTCAATGATAGCAAAAGGTTTTTTAAATAGGCTTCTCAAAACACACAATGTAATTACATTTAGATTACAGATTATTTCCAGAATGGGTTATAAACTAGTACTATAAGAACTATATTTACATGTTTAGATTTTGGACCTTTCTGACCTACTTTTGCTTTCTTATTAAAATGTTTTTCTTTATTTCAGCTAAAGTAGTATGTATATTCCACAAACATTTTAAAATATAAAATAAAATTTAAATACTAGTGTAGAGACACTAATGCTTTTACCTCTTCCTCTCTTCTCATTTTTTTATTATTGTGGTGGGTCATATTTAGCCTTAAGAGATTTTAAAAATACCAAACCAAAACCCAACAGAATAATTTCAAGACCAAAAACTTGTAACTAATTCACATTTTTAAGATACCAAAATAAAACATACTTACAAAGAATAATTATTCAGATGTGGATAAATAAATTTTAATGTATATATTTATGGGATAGTTAAATGCTTAGAATGATCTACCACACTGGTGGAATTGCTTCAAAGATTTTCGGGAAAGGAGGTGTATATAATTATTTGCTTCTTTGTTTATATCAATGCTTCTCTCAAGGGCACAATGGAAACCAGAGTGCATATGTGACAGCCTTCACATGTACCAAAAAAACACTGTCTGTATTATTAAGTCACAATAAACTCACCATATGAATAAATAACTCGACTAGCGTGAGTTACTGACATTTCTGATTCTGAAAATCTCGGCTTAAATTTGCAACAGGTCTCGTTATGGTAGTTTTCTAATCCTCTATTTCCTTTCCTCATGTTCTTCTTTGTACAGGGAAAGCAGATACAGCAAAACATTTAGCAACTGGATTGTAAATGAAGTGTACTTGATCTAACCATTTGTAAGGTGAGATGCTCTTCATTTCTATATCATAGAATCATACAATGTTAAGGGCTTGGAAGAGACCTCAAAGATTGTCTAGTTCCAATCCCGCTGCCATGGGCAGGGACACCTCCCACTAGACCACGTAGCTCAAGGCCTTATCCAACCTGGCCTTAAATAGTGCCAGGGTTGGGGCATCTGCAGTGTGTCTGGGCAACCTGTTCCAGTATCTCACCACCCTCACAGTAAAGAATTTCTTCCTAATATCTAACCTGAATTTCCCTTTTTTCAGTTTGTACCCATTACTCCTGATGAAGAGCCCCTCTCCACCTTCCCTGTAGGCCCCCTTCAGATACAGGAAGGTTGCTATAAGGTCTCCACACAACCTTCTCCTCTCCAGGCTGAACAGCCCCAACTTGTTGTTAAGGGCATTGTCCAAATGCCTCTTGAACACTGACAGGCTTGGGGCATCAAACACCACTTGAGACAAGTTTGTTTGACAACCTCTCTTGGTAAGGAAATGTTTTCTAATGTCCAGTCTAAACCTCCCCTCATGCAGCTTTGAACCACTGCCACACATCCTATCCCTGGATATCAGAGAGAAGGGATCAGCACCTTCCTCTCTACTTTCCCTCCTCGGAAAGCTGCAGAGAGCAGTGGTCTGTGAGTCAGTGAGGACCCAGGAGTTGTCTTCTAGGGATTAGGGAGATATTTACGACTGTCAAGAAATTAAGTGTACCTTGATACAGCATAATTGGCAGGTGTAATGTTTTCTCAGTACCTGGATGAAAACAATGGAGGTATGTTTTATCTGGAGGAATCGGTAAAAGAAAATCCTAGGTAACAGCAGGAAAAAAATGAAAACAGATTATACTAAAGCTTTTGGAACAAGCAGGTGTCCAGAGTGTGAAGCCAGGTGGCTTTGCAGTCTTGTCAGTACTCATACCCTGTGGAGCGAGCCTGGTCCTGTCTTGCTGTCGTCTGCATTGCTGTCAGCAGTGCTGTAGCCACTGCACCGAACCAAGGGCTCTCAGAAATGGGGCTGCTGGGAGAGAGCAGTGCAGCAGCTCCACGTGAGAGGCACTCAGATAAAGCAGAGGGCTGGTTCACTTGTGTTGTACTCCCTCGTAACACAGGTACATGAGATGAGCTGATCAGAGAAGAGCATCCTTGCTCAAGATCCAAGTCAGCAACTCCTTATTGACATAAATAAACCAATACTGGCAAAAATTTGAGCAGCCTGCAATCAAACTAGAAAATCATAGAATATCCTGAGATGGAAGGGATCCACAAGGTCCAGCTCCTGGCTCTACACATGACATCCTCGTGAATCATGCCACACGTCCAAGAGTGCCATCCAAATGCTTCTTGAACTCTGTCAGGCTCAATACCAGGACAACTTCCCTGAGGAGCCTTTTCCAGTGCCCAACCATCCTCTAGATGAAGAACCTTTTCCTAGTATCTAATCCATTCAAGGACAGTAAAAAGATGCTAGTGAGTACCACTAGAGGCCCCAGCTTACATTTGGTACAGTTCTTAGGTTGAAGAAATCACAATCTAAATGAAAGAGATAAGTAACCTATGCATGCATAGGGATTATTATTACCTCTTTCATAAATGGTTTCATAATTTACATGATAGTCTATGTTTTTAATAGAGAATAAGTAAATAAGAATCAAGTCTTGAAGGGGCCTAAAATGTCTCACAAGAAACCAGGAAAATAAACTCAAGTTCATCTTAGATCTCATTCATTGTCTTAATTGTAAACCACCCCTTCATATATAGAGGAAAATCAACAATGATATCAGTAGAGAAAATAAAAGAGCACTCCCATAAATGTAAATTTTTCCTCTATAAGCTGAACCTGAACCCACACAAGTCTCATATGGCCATGAGACAATTCTGCCAGCTTGTCCAAAAACTCTGCCCCACTAAACAACTAATCCAGCACTGTCAGATTTGAGCTTTCAAGTGGAGGAGGAAGTAGTTTTCCTCTTAGTCCCACAATATCTGCATACTCCAAAACAGCGAAAACACAGCTTCGAGTGCCATCTAGAGGACTGCACCCCCCTACAGAAAACTCTTCTGTTGGTTAAGGATGTAACTTCTCACAAAGATTTTCAAGCTGCCTCTAGTAGGGAAGTATTGAATGAGAACAATTAAATGCACCTGCATCTTCCTCAATATTTTTGCACGTATGTGAATACTCAAAAAATTTCAGTGATACCTGTAAATGTAACTACATGTCTTAAAAAAATCTGCCTCAGTAACAAGATGTATTGATTTGTAATGATGGATAAAATAATCCAAGGAATCTTAGAAGTGTCTGGAAGAGATATCTAAGGAGCAGCCTGGGAACCAAAAAATGAAAAATTGGTTGAGATCGTTTCCGGAAGTCCTTATTTGTGTGGGGATTTGTGTATTCACAGAGGTATAAATCAGTCCACACACAGAGGATCACAACAGGTCCCTTTGTTATTCTCAGCATAGGGCAGGGATTCAAAAGCACATCCTCTGGAGGATGGAGAGGTGATGGGAAAGCCTGTACTCCCCGTACCCAGTGCTGTGTCTGTGGCAGGGGAGAGGCCTCAGAACCAAAATGCAACTGAATGAGGCCCACCAGGCCAAGAGTGAAGCCGTGCATTGCCACACACATTTGAGGGCTGGAAAGGTCTGCTGCATTTTTAGAGCTCAGAGATGGAGCAACAGGACAGGCTTTTCCCCAGTCCTTCTGTGGAATCCTGCTCTGGGCCTCGGTCTCTCTCCCCTCTGCTGTACATCAGTCCCCAAGTGAAAAGCTCACTTAGTGACTCCAAGTCCAGTGTCAGGCAGAGGTGCACAGCCCTGCCAAGGCTCGTGGAGCCCCAGCCACGTGTCACTGACACCACTCCATGGCTGGAGCACATGCCTTGCTCTCCTTTCCTGTCACTTCAGAGTCAGCCAGGGCAGAGGCCACACAGTGGTGGATATGGATGTAAGACATCAGATGGCTCAGGGTTATGGTCCAAGTGTGACTGCAGAAGAAAAGGCAGCCCAGAGACACAACACTGGTCAGGGCCTGCAGCTGGGTAGCCCAAAACGAACAAGGAGGCTCTCCAAGCACTGCCCACAGTGCAGGTGGGATGCCTTTGTCACAACAGCACCCATGCAGCGGCTTTGCCCTGCTCCCCTGTCCTGTTTGCTGCACAAGACCAACACACAGACACCCCAAAATCCCCAGACACTCAGGGGCTCCAGGACAGGTGAGCTGGAAGCTGCCCCAAGATTTAAATCCCAGGCATTTCTCTCTAACGAGGAGCCTGAACACTTAAAAATAGGTATTTCTCTAATTCCCTAATTCCTAAATGGTTTTAAAAATCTGCCCTCACTATTGTAGGTGACCATATACTTGGCTCAAATCTTAAAGTGGCCAGGAGTTTTATTAAAATATTTTATTAAAAATATGCTTAAACACGTGTAAGCAAACATTGTTAATGGAACATTTAGGTTGAAATATATAATCTTTTAAGATAAAATAGCACAGCGATAGTGGTCTCTGATATATTAAGGTCTTTCATGTTTACATTAATATCAGACAGTTTGTCATACAACACTATGCATTTTATTAACGCTGGGATAAGGTAATCACACAAAAAATTAAACATCACACACTGACTAATGGTTTTGCAGGTATAGTCAACTATCAGAAATTCTTGTATTATCAATGCGGACACCATGAGGAAGTGATTTCTCTGACAAAGACAAAAAGAAGAACGTTCCTCGATTTGCACGGGAACAAGATTCAAATGTATTTTTTGTGTCTATTTTAAATGTACATTTCAATTCACTTCAGAGTTGGCCTTGCCAGTTACAGTCTTTCTGTCCCTGCACATCTTCCAGATTCACTGCATATTTGGAATTCCAGTCTCGCTCAAAAAGGTTTTTTACCTGTTCCTGGACAGGCAGTTGCCTTCTTTGCAGGTTGGTCCAATTCTGTTTGATAATTAGTCCAACACCAGCTGTATTAGTGAAGTAATCTTCCGACCAGTTGGAAGTCCCTGTGCAATGGAAAAGTAGCTGATCAGAAAACATTAATTTCCCAGTGTTCTGTTTGATCTCTGGGCTTTGTTGATTTGCTCTATGACTGCAAATCTCATTAGGACCAACGAGGCAGCAAAAATCAGGTCACCTCCTTCTTACACCAGACCTCAGGTTTCGGAAACTAGGTATTAACTGCAACCCTGAAAGTTCATAACCTTCTGATTCCCTAGAGCCTGTGACAGAATGCACAAATTTACTAATTATAAATATGGGAATAGCGTGCAACACTTGAGTATTAAGAGGGGTAAAAGCCAGTGTTTGGCATGGGTTTCTCTGTTTAAAGAAAAGAGTCCTTAATGGACTTAATTCTCTTTACTTGTTGAAAGAAAACAAGAGGAGAAACTAGACCCTTGATCAATAAACCCTCAGGAGCTGTTCTGAGCTCAGCATGCGATTCCCACTTCTAAACCAGGCAAAGCTGGGAATCCAGCTGCAGGCATTGTCTACTCTCTCTCCAAAGCTCAATTCAGAAAATCAAACACTGTGAAAAAAACACACGTTTTATCACTTAGCACTTCCCCTCGTGATTGCCTGAGTCAGAAAAATCTACTGTCAATTCCAGAAGGTGCTTAGGCATGAAAACAAATTATCTGCATATCTGCCTTCAAAAGACAACTCAGTTTGAAACAAGTTATTAAAGTATTAAAAGCAAATGGAGCTGCAAACCCTCAGCCAGTTGGAAGATTGGGCTATTTGCTGGTGTGCATTGCTTGGAGGATGAGCTGACTGAAA